TATATGTATAATTTGGTAGATAAGCAGTAGTTGTGCAGTGTATGTGTTGCTTATGGTCTTGGTGATATTAACTCGTACGGAATCTGCATGACTAATCAATTAGTCTTGTCCACAAGTTTGCTATTCCTTTTCGGTAGTCATTTAAATATACGTGACTAGTTAACTATGAAAATTGTTGAATGATTTATGGATTGACTGAGAATGACAGAAAGCATTCAGTGGCAAGAACAGGACATTGTACAAATGAATGAGGTTTGTAATAATTGTGTGACAATGATCATTTTCATTCAAAGCATGTGACTTAATTGATAAGCATGAATTTTCAAACATGTATTATTGTTTATGGTTTTTCTTATGCCTAAAGAATTTAAACAATGTTTTGATCAGTCAATTGTTTTGTGCCATAAGGGGAGAAGAAAAGAAATTATTCAAGGCTAATGTATGGCATGTATTGGAGATGTTTCTTTTGGAAGAAAAGAATTTTGGTTGTTCTTTATTAATTTGGTATATACAAGGCTAATGCACATTTTTTATGCTAATGTTTTAGGAGTCTTGTACTATGGAAGAAACATATAAAAGGAAAGGAACTTGTTTGACTAAGAAAACATTTCAGCGTTTTAGCTTTTAAATTAAAGGAATGTATTGTTCTCTCACATTACATAAAGTATTTATAATTTAAGTAATTGACTCCATAATGATAAGTATTGACATTCTTGTGGTGGAATAAAACTTGTTCTATATGTGATTAATCTCTTTTAAGTATGTTGTCAGGTTTTTTGAGATTAATTTAATGTCAAAGGGAGTCATGAAGGAATTAGTGCCATTTGTTGGCAAGACTCAAAGCTCGAATCAGGTTATAATAAAGTTGTCACTTATAGTTAATTAATCCATGTGACTTCTTGTATTGTTTCAAGGCAGAGTTGATCAATGTCTTGTCAACTAAGCAAGTCGTAGAGGCTTAGTTGATGATGGGACTATGATTTTTGAGTTACTTCGATCAACATTGCATCTTAATTAGAATAAAAGCGATAATCTTCAGCCTGCATGTGTGGATTGTTTCTTTTAGTTTAATTATGATGGCATAGTATGGGTTTTATTTCATAAGAGTGGTGAAAGCTTCATCTGCCCATAGGTGTTGAAGTTTTTCATGAAGGTACTCTTGAGAAATAAAATTTAGTACTAGAAACTAATTTTCTGCCTATAGGTATAAATTAACCTAGTTTCATGAAGTTTATTGGGGATAAAGTTCCATGCCATTAGTTGCAAATATTTCCACTATGAGCCCCATAATAGGTTGTGGTTTTAAGGCATGAAAATCCGTTGCATCATGACGTATTTTGGTTATATGCTTCTTCAAAAAATTTTGCCAAATGATGGAATAATTTACACTAAATTCATCTAAACTAAAGGGTAAGAATTTAACTCTAGAACATAGTAAATTGAAGATAAATGCTCTATCCGGTGAGACATCTGCCACTTGCCTTCAAAGTTAATTCTTGGTTTTCTTTGAGCTACTGAATAGTAGTTCTCACTTACTTAGGGCCATATAGATGAATTAACATCAGCAGTGTTTTATATGCATTGCAGGCGTCTGTATTCTCTTTTGTCATCACCATATGTGTTCATTCTACATATAATGCGTTTGTATGGTGAAGCGAACTTAACTACGAATGTGTTAGCTAATTTTGGCTTTTAAGGCTCTGGTTCTAGAGCTTAGATTGATTCTTTCGGCTCTGGTGCTTTCAAATGTTCCATTTGTCTGCTCGTTTGGCCGAGCTTTCGAGATTCTAGAAGAAGCTGAGGTCCTACCGCAAAATTAATTCAGAATAAAAAGTGGTCTCTCTCTTTATAAGTCATTGCAAAGTTTGATCTTTCATACTTATAGATTTCCCTTCATGCTTCATCCTTGTTTCAAGAAGCACCTCTGCTCAAAGGGTTTTAGTTCTAAGACCAAATAGTTTTCAATTGGGTACAATACAACTACTGCATTATGCATAAGTTAGTACATGCGTTTCAGAGCTGAACTCTACTCTACTGCAACAAAAGCCCACCCCACCCCCATACAAAAAAAAAAAAAAAAAAATCCTTTTCCATTGCGTTTTGGTTATATTTTTCTGTACACTGATATATTTATTTACACTAAGAAAAGTAAATTAGTATCGAACTCGCCGTTAAAAAAAATTCTAATCTAAGACGTATTTTTTATTAAAAAGATTCTAACCTAAAATTTATCGAACTCACCAATAAGTTAGTCTCGAACTAGCTCCTAAAAAGTTTTTGGGTCTTTCGTCATGAAAAACAAAAAAATTTGTGACTTGTGAGGTTTAATGACAAATACATACAAAGAGTCTTGGGTTTTATTTTCGGTCAGATCATGTTTTTTATTCCCCAAAATAGTATGAAAATAGAAAGATTCCAGATGAAAAACAAACATTTTTTTGACTTGTGAGGTTTAATGATAAATACGTACAAAGACAGTCTTGGCATCAAGGACGAAGCTAGAAATTTAACTAAGAGGGGGCATTTTAAAAAATTTGAGCTCCTTTTTTGGACAAATAAAGCTAGTTCTTTTACAAATGCTAAAAAAATTAATTACAAAATGCCTAATTTTATTACTCTATTGTCTAATTTTGTCTTTAATTGTTGACAATCTAATGCTCATTTGTACTAATTAACCAAATACATGAAACTCAACAAAGTTTAAACATTATTGCGTGAGAAAAATATACAAGATAGAGGGGCATTTAAAAACTAAAAGAGGATTTTCACTATTTTAATATGATTAACTGAATAATCTGCAAAGCAAAAAAAAAAATAAATAAATAAAAATGATTAATTGAATAATTTGGAATTTTTATAAAATAAAAAATAGGATGAGAGGGGGCATGTGCCCCACTGGGCCTTACCTCTCTCCGTCCATGATTGGCATGAAATGCACAATAAAACAGATTTGTAAGTTTGGATCTACTGCATGTGTCTTAGAAATCGAAGGGGATTATAAGCTTCCACGTCTTTGCATGCCAAACCATACGACCGCATAAAACATGTTCAACATTTTCTTCTTATTTTAATGCATAATATATAAGTTGAAATATTTCACATTGATCGTATCACTGAGAAAATAAGAGTTTAAATATTCTAACTCCACTTTAACTAATACTAATACATTTTGTGATAAAATCTTTACCTGACGAATTGTGTAGATGGTAATTACCTAGTAAGGAACAATATTAATGTTGTTGGTAGTGGACCTTCTCCATCTCATTTGCATGTTACAAAAGCAATATCATGAAGGTTTGAGATGAACAAGTTAGCATCTCACTAATAACTACACACACACACACACACACATATATATATATATATATGTTATGCAAAGGGATCTTTATTTATTTTTTTTAAACGGGGATTAAGTGTGGGGTCCATTCAACATCAAACTTTAACAATCCGAATCATCTATTTTGTAAGTCTCGATTCATAGATCATCCTTACAAAAATTCAATTCAATCCGAAATCATTTGCCTATTTAATTATAAAGATAAAATTTTATTGTTTCTTATATAATAAAGTATTTGTTAATTTTTTTTGAACCCAATTAGATGTCTTAAATATTTCTGATTTGGCTAATATTGTGCAAGGATAATCTATAAGGTACAACTTGAAAAATAGACAGTTTGGATCGTTAAAGTTCGATATGGTGTGAACCCCACAACTAATTCCTAGTTTTACAAAAAAAATGGAGATCCTTTCTCTTAAAGAATTTATATATATGTGTAGTCTCTCAAAGTTCATTTTACCAATTGAAAATGAAACTACATAATATACACCAAACCGGTATGACCAGGTGTAATTTATCATTTAATTCTTGATTGCAAGGATGTTCAAGTAATTCTACATGAGAGACAATTACCCTCTTTAATGAAGTGAAAAATATCAAAAAGTCTATGTAGAATTTTAATGCTAAACAAATTTAAACAAATTTAGATAAAAATGTAAATAGGGTATGAATAATATGTACAAAATTTGCAGACCAAGTTCCGCAGCGACTAAGTTACTATTTACTTATTTTTATTTTTTTTTAAACGATATTATCTACATTAAAGGGAAGGGAGTTGGTTTAGGTTCACAATAAGTTAGCAATAATGTGGTTCAAATTCGTTTTTAGCGAAAATCGAAGCTAAGACCTCTCACTGACAAGTAAGAAGAAATATCACTAGATCGTAGTATTAAGTGACACTATTTAAAAATGAATGGGATGAGGAAAATCGAAGCTGACAATTCAAGCCTTCTAGTGCTTGTTCCATCTCCTTCACGGTCAGCCCCGTCAACCACGCTACAAGCCTACACACATGGCGCAATCTCAGCCATCTGTGTGGTTTGTTTGTCAAAATTCAGAATCATGCGGCCACTAATCAACCTTCTAATTGATCTTTCACGGCATTTTTCCAATTCTCTTGTTCTGGCTTCGCCATCACTCGTATAGTATGCGTAATGTATGGATCATGTTGATTAACTAATAGGCATGTACCGCCAATCAAACAGCAGTAACAACGATATATTCTACTCAAATGGAATCACTAATTACGCATTGAATTCAAACAAATATAATACGTTATTGTCATCCATATGATTTGAATCTGAAACCTCTTAATTGGAGAGAAATATTATTAAATTGTAATACTAGTTGGTTGGTTAATCAGAATGTATGACCAATCAACTCAACTCAACTCATATGTAATACCATTTTGTTCATTCACTTTATCATCATATATGAAAATGTGCCCACAAACCATTTATATAATATGGGATTAGTGATTAAAAATGCGTGATAGTTCGTTATAATACCATTAATTAGAATGTCTCTCACCATCCCCTTCTTTCTATATCCCTCATTTTTTCTATGCTTTTTTCCTATTTTTTAACACAAAAATAAAAATCGATAAATGAAATTCTATATATACTAAAGCTCAGCGGATTGACACTGTTCATTAACAGTGCCGTTCCGGTTTCGTCCCTCAGTTTCTTCATGGTTTTTCTGCTTTAGTGGGATTGTGCAGTAAATTGGCCATTTTGCCCTTCATCATAGGTGCTGCGCGTGCCTGCCTGTTTGCTTCTAAGCGATGTTGACACGTTAGTCTGATTCGAAGAGTTCTCCACCGTTCCTTTTCGTTTTTGGTGAGGAAGGTGCTCGAAGGCTCTTCAATTTTCTTCCGTCGTTTTTTCCTTTCTTTCCTCTCTGTGCTTTTCTCCCTGCGTTAACCCTTCGTGTTTCCCTGCTTCTCTCGCCGCGTCAATCATCGATCGTGTGTTGTGTGAAGAGTTTCTTTTTCCGGCTGATTGTACTGTTTCAGGTGGTTTCTCTGCTTTTTTTTTTTTTTTTTTTAATCATCTTTTCTCTGATTGGGAAGAAAATTTGTGTTTTCAGTGTGGTTGTTTAATCTGATTGGGTTTTTTTGTTTCAGGAAAATTGGTGTGCGAATTTTAGGGGTTTTTTGTACAACCTTGCAAACCCCTGATTAAGGTCTGTGAGTTTTTTCTTTCAAATCTTTTCTTATTTTTTTCGATGATTTGTATGTGGCTGTTCCATCTAATTCGATTTTTCGTTTTAGGAAATCTTGGTCTTCGAGGTTTAGGGTTTCATCTAGATCGATTGCTCGATCGATGTAAAATTGAAGTCCTCTGTTTTTTTTTCTCTCTAGAACTCTGTTTTACTGTGTTGTTTCTGTTGCAAGTGGCGGTGTTTGCTTGGTTTTGTGCTCTGGTCTTAGAAATTGAATAGTTTTTTTTTGGTTTTGTGCTCTGCTCTTTGTTTCTCTGCTTTTTTCCATGTTCGATCTTCGTGTTTCCTTGCTTCTCTGTTTGTGTTGATCATCTGCCGTCTGAAGAGGTGGGTTTTCTGGCTGATTGCGGTGTTTTAGGTGGTTTGTCTATTTTATTCTTTTTCTCTTTTCTTTGATTAGGAAGAAAATTTGTAGATCGATTGGTGTAAAATTAAAATCTTTGCATTTTTTTATCAGTTCTTTCCTATTTTTTTTCATGTTTTTAGCATCGTTGTTTAATCTGATTGCATTTTTTGTTTCAAGAAATACTGATTTATCGATTTTAGGGTTTCTCTATCCAATCCTGGAAACCGTTTTCGATTAAGGTGTGTGGGTTTTTTTTATGTGGAATGTTTTCTGTTTTTTTCCGACATTTGTGTCTGGTTGTTCCATCTAATTGCATTTTTCGTTTTGGAAAATTTTGATCTTTTAGGTTAGGGTTTTCCTGTACATCGATTGGTTGGTTGGTGTAATATTGAAGTTTTTTTCGTATTGCATTGACTGTTTCGTTGATTTTTTACTGTATTCAATGCTGTTTTCTAATGTGATTCGGTTTTTTCTTGCAGGAAATATTGGTGTTTGAAGAAATTAAGGCTTAGCAAAGTGTGACTACCTATGCTTGAATTAATGTTGAAGTTTTGAGCTCAATTAGATTAAAGTGCATAGAACATCCATAGAAGTGGTAAAAGTTCTTCTCCCAATCAGCTTAATAGTAGTTAACAGCTTAATAGTAGTTAACATGTATGCTTACTTTTCAATTATTAAGAAATTATACCTTCCAGTTGTATGAATCTCTAACGCATCAACATCATTTCTTCTGAGAAGTTCGGAGGTTGCATAAGCATCTCTTATGTACGAGCACACTCTGCTATTATGAATTGGAGTGGTTCTTATTGTCTTTAAGTGATTCTTATCACAACAATTAGGGAAGAAATTCCTTTCTTTTAAATTGGATTATCCCAACCTGCATAAAATTGAGAGTCATGTTGATAAAATCTTTGTCTTTATTATGCTGTTATTAAAAGTAGCCTTGAAATATTTTAAATTCGTTTTATATTTATTTGAGAATTAATTATTTCTTTGTTTGCAATCATCTGCAGGTTAATTTTGGTTGAAAAAAAAAAAAAAAAAAATCTTTGCTGCATCTCAGTTCCTATTGTAATTTTAACTGCCAAGTTAGCTTTCAGCTGTCAAGTTTACAGACAATTGATTGTGTTTGTAAGTGCTTTTCACTTTGTTAATATTGTGTTCAAGATTATATTTCTTCCTTTTGTTTGACAATTGCCTGATTGTAGTCAATACTGTGGCTCTAAATTGTATATCGAATCATTCTTTTTGAATATTTCTTTACTTAAGTTATAATGTTGAGCTACTTTTATGTTATAATTTTATAACTAGATAGTACATTATCATAAAAATAGAATGTTTTGTTTTTTTTTATCAATGTTATCTATGCAGTATAGTCTTTTTGTTTTGTTTTTTTTTTTTTTTTTTTGCTTTACTCTGTATATTACCTTTTTTTTTTTTAATTTTAGCTTATACATTTTAAACCCATCGGTTCCACGTTGTGTTAATCATGATTCTTGGAACCATAGTTAGTTTTTATTTTTGTAGTTAACTGTGTTATCGTTTTTAGTAAAACTGCGAATATCATAGATAAATTATATGTAAAATGCTTTTTTATAGTCATATACTGTGTTATTAAAAAAGTTAGATGTTTGTAAAAACTGTCAATATCACGGAGTGATATTACAATTTTCTATTGTGATAACAATTTTTGTTTTAGTTAACATATACATTTCTTTGAACAGGTGTATTTGTTAATTCTGTGTCACCCATTGTTTAAAAAAGTTTTAGTGCTCCTATGTTCTCACGATATATTTGATAATCTAGCCATCAATTTATATAATTTATGTATTAGTAAAAATCAATTGGTTTTTTTATTTTTTGTAATTTGTTTTTCATTGAGAATAAATATTGTTAATACTGTTGATCTTTCCAGTTTCCACTCAGCGTGGATAAGACAAGTAAGAAGTGATACTCCCATTGAAAACTTATCTGCAAAATAAATTTTGGTCTGTGGTTGCATGGTGCATTGGTGCATAGTTTCACAACTGAACTATAAGAAGTAAGAATGTAGTTATCTTATTACTTTGTTAATTTTTAAATTTTTTTAAGTTCTATTTATTATTTGTTTTATATTTTGTTTCTTACCATTTGTTGTTGAACTAAATTCTATTGTCCATTGTAATAATTGTTTGTTGTTTGCCTTTTTGAACAGATTGGCTATCGTGTTTTCTAAATTTCAATTGTTTAAGGTGAGCAATTTTAAATTTTAAATTATTTAGTTTTAAACTTTACTTTTTTTAATCTTCTTTTTTTTTTTTATAACTTTTTTTTTTCCAGTCACATTTTAAAATTTGGGTGATCTATTCTTTTTAATCATTATAGTATATATTTGTTTAATCTTCGCATTATATGTTTGTTGATACTTCTTTTTTTCATTTTTTGTCTTTTTTTCCAGCGTGGTTTGCACTAATTTGTTTTCAAATTTTTATTACAATTTGATTCCATCATGTCAAAAAGACTTGCAAATGCTTTAACAATTAATGATACAGAACACGAGAAAGAGTTTGTCAATAATCAATCCAATGTCTTATCTGAATATGACAGACAATTTAAAAGAGTGTGTAGAATAAGTTGTATACAAAACTATGTTGATGTTTTCTCATCTAAGAGTAGTCCAATTATTCAGGAAAACTCAGCCATTGACTACCAAGATGGTACTAGCACATCTTCTGTTCAACAAGATGTTGAAAACTTAAGTTCTTCCAATATCAATGAATCACATTGCATGACTATTGTTGAAAAAAATGTTCTCTTAAGAGATAGAAAGGGAAAAAAGATTGTCAATGTATTAGACCAATCTACAAAAAACACTCAACAAACCCTTGATGATCAGAATAGTAATCTTATGAACAAGGGTCAAGCATTTTTTCAAAAGAATAGAAAAGGTTAGTTCTTAATTTATGCATCTATTAATTTGATATATTATGAATTTCAATTTTCTAATTGCCTAAATAATATTACGCTCATTTTGTTTTGTTTTTGTATCTTTTTTTGTAGGAGTTGTTAAAGAATATGCGGACTTAGGAGATAAAAATTATAAGTGTGTTCATTGTGGTGCTTATTTTTGGCTAAAAGAGTCTCTTAAACCAAAGTGTAAAAACGATCTACCTGTTTTCACTCTTTGTTGCCAACAAGGAAAAATTAAGTTTCCAAATCCAAAACCAGCACCACCATTTTTAGATTACTTACTCGATCCAACTAAAGGGCAAAAAAATTTATCATTTCGAGAAAATATTAGAACTTATAACTCAATGTTTGCATTCACTTCAATGGGAGCCAAAGTTGATAACTCAATTAACAATGGATCAAGCCCTTATATTTTCAAAATCAGTGGTCAAGTTTGTCATTTAATGGGATCTCTTTTGCCTGTTGATAATGAGTCTCCAAAATTTGCTCAACTGTATGTCTATGATACATATAATGAGGTGGAAAATCGACTTAAAGTTTTTAATTCCAATGGAAACAATCAAAGGCTAGATCCAACAATTGTAGAAGGGTTAATCAAAATGTTTGATGCATCAAATGAATTGGTTAAACTTTTTCGAATGGCAAGAGATAAATTTGAAAACGATGGTCTTTCTTCGTTAAAAATGACTTTGCTAGGCAGGCAATTAAATGATAGCAAACAATATGAGCAACCTACAACTGATGAAATAGGTGGTTTGATAGTTGGAGATATAGGATTGTATGATTCTAATCGAGATATTATTATAGAGTCTAAAAGTCACGAATTAAAACGTGTAACAAAGTTGAATCCTAAATTTATGTCTCTGCAATATCCAATTCTTTTTCCATATGGTGAAGATGGTTATAGACCAGATTTAAAATGGAATGAAAATTATAGAGGTAAAAAAACTAAAAGACAAAGAATACCAATGAGAGCTTTCATTGCTTATCAAATTCAAGAGCGAGAACCACCATTAAGTACATTGTTAAGAGGAGGAAGACTTTTTCAACAATATTTGGTCGATTCTTTTGCAACACTTGAAGAAGATAGATTAGATTATATTAGACAAAATCAAAAAAATTTGAGAAGTGAAGTTTATAAAGGGATATATGATGCATTCTCAAAAGGTGATACTGATGCAAATAATTTGGGACAAAAAATTGTATTACCCGCTTCATATACTGGAAGTCCTAGATATGTGATAAATAATTATCAAGATGCTATGGCTATTTGTAGAGAATACAGACATCCTGATTTGTTTATAACATTTACATGTAATGTTAAATGGCCAGAAATCACAAGAGAGTTTGAGAATAAGCCAGGATTCAAACCTGAAGATAGGCCTGATATAATTTCTAGAATCTTCAAAATGAAGCTTGATCATATGATTGATTTCATCAAGTCCGGGAAGCCTTTTGGAGAAATTCAAGCAAGTAAGTTACTAAAACTCATTCTAGCACTTATTTCAAGCTTTTTAGTTTTCTTATTTATTATAAAATTTACTTTTATTCTTTTCTTTGTTTTCATTTTTTCCTCATGAACAGATCTTTGCACGGTTGAGTTTCAAAAAAGAGGTTTACCTCATTCTCATATGTTAATATGGCTGAAATCAAATGTGAAATGTTTTTGCG